TGTGCTCACAGGCAATGATGGAGTCATAATGTTGGCTCACTCTATTTGTGATGGGTGCTTTTAATTTTATCTGTGCCCAAGAGACACACATCTAAGGTCAACTTGACAGAAGGGTGTCATGGTCGCACCACGGCAGGATAGAGGAAGGTGCTGTAGATGATCCGTAACTCTTGACCAGTGTCCAGTATGTTCCACTTGCTGATTCCAATGGAATCACTATGATTATAACTGCCCAAACTGGATATGAGCTGAGTAAATAGCCACCTTCAGCCTTTGTCAAGAAAGGGAGGGAGAGAAGGCCGGTAGCTATGTGAGGTTTTCTACATGGAAAGTATTTATTGGTCCAAATACCTGCACAGAACAGGAAGAGGCAGTGGCATCGAGCCAAGGCACACCCAACTTCATCCTAGGATAAATGGGTGGTTTTGTTCAAGTCTTCTTGGCATCGCAGGCTGTTGAAAATTAACATAGTAAAATCCAAAATGAAAGGACACAGAACCAGAATGCCAACCCTTAATAGACAACTATAGAATAAACTTAAAATCTGCTGTCACCGTGTAGGGCAGACTGGCAATATGAGGAGCTAAACTGTTCTTCCCATATACTCTTGTCACCTGCTCCAATTCCCTGACTCCATGCTCAGGACAACCATCTACCCTTGGGTTGTTCTGCAATATCAATCGAAGATTCCTTTTCAAAATAAAACTTCCTTGTCATAAAAAAATAAAGGTTGTGATCACCATGTAATTAGTTCTTACCATTTTTGGAGCATAGGTGGATCCCAGTTGTACTACTCCTGGCTTATTTCAGCCTGCAACTATTCCTGAGCATGGTTTCCCCTGTATGATTCAATGACACCAGTGGGAAGGGCTTTGAAGGCTCTGTTGACAAATCCTAAATGTCTTAAGATTTGGGCTGAGGGAAGGTGGACTCTTCCCCACTGCTCAATTTTTTACCCTGTTGCTTTATCTACCTGACAGGAAGACTTGAACTACTGCCATTTCTAAGTTATACGTCTAAATATTGACTTAATGGCAAGACTCAAAGTGTCATAACACAGATCGCTGAAGCAAGGAAGATTGTCCAGGCCTCACCAAGAAGTCTGTCCAATGTCCCATTGGGAGTAGAAAAGGAAACAGAAGACGGAAGAAGAAAAATGAAATCCAGGCATGTTTAGAAGACACAAATGGCACTTCACTTAATCTTGTAGCGACAAATGAGCACTTGTTAGGTCATTGTCTGAGGCTGGAAAGGACCAGGGAGGAAAAAGACAACAGTGACCATGACTCTCTCAGCCCTTTATTGGCAGGAATGAGGGGGACTGGGACATTGCAGCCTGGGGTGGGCAGCCTACACTCAGAAAACTTCAGCGGGGTATTCACTTTTGAAGGACCTGACAGTGTCTAAGAAAAGAGACTTTTCATCTAATTTACACAAGACTTCAATCCAGATCTTTGGCTAACCTCCATGTAGGCCACAGAGGAAACCCCATTTTAGCCTCTTTTCTTCTCATTATTCACTCCACAACTGCTAATCAGGCAGTTTTACCATGACTATTAGCTGCTGAACTATGGCTTGAAAGGAGTGATAGCCTCTTCTTACCCTGAAAGAGCTGTTCTGGGAGACCAATACAATATTGTACAGGAAAATTACCTTTGAGATTATCACATATTCAGATATATATATATATATATATTCAGGTGTGAGAAAAACAATGCTCTGTAAGACAACAGCAAGAGCTTTGGAATATGACCACTGCCCCTCTCAGGATTTCCTCCCACCTTGCTATAATAGAGGCTTCTATGACTATAAAAAAAATCATGAACAGAGCATGTGGATGTTGGTGTGTGTGGGGGGGGGAGTGCCAATTGTGCAGGGGGTGTCTCTCAAAACAACACAATAAAAAGAACAAAGCCAGTCAGATACCACGGAAGGTGGCTACATGGTATTGTGGCAGTATTCATCTTGGTGGTCTTTAGGCCAATGACCAGACAGTTGTCATAGTCCTCCCATGCCAATACATGCAATCTCTTGTATTTATTGATAATAATGTTTCTAAAAGTGACCTTAATGTGCAGCAAAGTCTTCTTTCTGTTTTAGACCTCACCACAACCAGCTTAGATCTGAACTTGACCCTTTAGAAAAGTCTTCCTATATTGGCCTACACTTTTTAGTATAACAACTAACTTCATGGCCCCACTTGGGTCTCTATTTCAGATAGAGGAGTACCCCTAAGCTTTTATGTTATAGTTTGGGCCACAAATGTTCCCCATAAATTAGTGCTTTGGATGCTTGTTCCCATAGCACTATTTGGGGACACTGCAGAACCTTTAGGAGATAGGACGTAGCTGACAATAGTAGGTCACTAGGAGTGGGCCTTTGGCAGTTACAGTCTATCCTCCAATTGTAGTCTTGCTGTCTCTTCCCTGGTCCACTGTGATGTGAATGACAGTTCTCCTGCAGGCTCCATGAACTATTCTGTTCAAGTGCATGGTGCCAAGTGACTGTGGACTTCAGCCTTTGAAAACAGGAGTAAAAATAAACCCCTGCTCTCTAAAGTAGTTTCTGTCGATATATTTGGTCACAGTAATGTCAAATGTAACTGATTCTCTTTATCTGGATGCAAAGCATCCCATGTGACTGATGGTTTATGCACAGAATCCCTAGTGTCACTTTGAACTTATCCCTGTTGGTAGAATAAGTTCTTCTGCCCAATTTGGACTTAACACTGTATGTGCTGGCCTTCATGAGCCTACCTGTGATGCTTGTCCCTGCTCTGTGACAGCTTTCAGGATTCCAGCACAGCTCGGCAGTGGGGCTGCCTTCTGCAAGCTCCATCTGTCTGTGTTCTGCGATGCTTTGAGATCTGCAGAGTGCCCTGCGTAACTCTCCATGTGGCCACCTCCAGACAGCATCTTCCAAGCTCTTGTAGAAAGCCCACAACCTCAGTGCAAGCCATGTGTGACTCAGCTCTGGATTACTCATCCTTCCCTCCCCTCTCCCCCATGCCTGTCAGCAGGCCTCTCCCATAATCCACTGGGCTTTCACAATTCTCCCAGCTGTTCCCGCCCTCCCACCCTCCAGCCCAAGCCAGTGAAGTGAGATCTCTGCTGCTTTTCTCTGCCTCCCACCCAGCTAGTGCTCATTTATCCCTTCATTTCTTTTAGGCATTTACCAATAGCTGGCTCCATAATGACAAGAATCAGTATTATAGTGTTGGGGAAAGTACCATAACCACGTGCCTGGAAAAGACATATTGCACATCACCTGTTGAAAGAATGAATCCACAGTAGCAAAGCAATCATTTTGTCAGTATTGAATACCCTCATACTTTTATTTAGTGTGTGTGTGTGTGTGTGTGTGTGTGTGTGTGTGTGTGTATGTGTGTACACATGTGTAGATAATTCACTGGAGTCTGTTCTCTCCTTCCAACATGTGGGTTCCAAAGAGTGAACTCTTCCAGTTTGGTGGCAAATGCCTTTGGCTGCCCCTAAGTCTCCTCATTCTTCATGAAAGCTATTCAATGGACAGGGATGCCAGTATCCACTGGCTTTCACAGTAGCCAAGACAGGTTGTAGCTTTACTTACTTCATTACAGTGAAATATCTTTGCTTCCCAATTACCTAGGTGTATAAAGGAGTCAGCAGTAAGAGGTGTCATGAAATCCATTACCAAACAGTTGTGTGTGCTTTGATTTTTCCATTTTTAATGCGGTGGGGGAAGTTAAATGTGCATAGAAATTCAAAATATATTGGATGAAATTCTCAAATAAATAAAAACATTCTTTCTTTAAAAAGTGTATAGAAATGATATTCAACTCCTTTGTCAAAGTCAATGAGCAAACTAAAGTTGATTTCTTTTCCACATTGAAAACGTTGCACATGAAATTCATGCATGTGACACCAGAGCAAGGGAACCAGGAAATGACACTGTACCTGCTGATATTATAGAGCTCAAGAAAGGACTTTTTAAAGATGTGCACATAGAAAATATTTACCATGTATACATCTGGTAGATGATTACTATCCAGGATATACAAAGAACTCAAAGAAATAAAAATAAAGCAACAAAGAAACAAGCAAGCCGCTTAATAAATGGGATAGTGAAAGAAACAGACAGTTCAGAAAAGAAGAAATGCAAATATATGAAAAAGTCAGCCTCATTAAGTATTATTGTAATACAAATAAAAAATGCACCAACATTCCATCATATCCCAGTCAGAATAGCAATCACTAAGAAAACAAATGACAACAAATGCTCGCACAGATGTAAATGAAAGAGAACTGAATCCTTGTGCTCTGTTGGCGGGAATATGTAAGCTAGTTTGGTCCTCCATGGAAGTAAGTACGGGAGCTTCTCAACAAGCTAGAACTAGAGCTACCAGATGACAGAGTTGCACCACTCTGACTGTTTATTCAAAGACTTCTAAGTCCTATCCCAGAAACACTTGCACATCAGTTCCTGGCAGCATGATTCACAGTGGCTAAATTATGGAACCAACGTAGGTGTGCCACAACAGAGGCAATAAGGAAAACCCAGCATACACATCCATGGTGGCTTTTATGCCATCTGTGGTAAAATGGATGCAACTGAGGACAATTATATTAAGTAAAGTAAGCCAGCCTCGGAAAAACAAAGACCATGCTTTCTCTCATCCGTGGTCCCTAGTTTTTGTAGTCACATGAAATCATATGTATATATCAATTAAAAATAGAAGTGAAGTTATCTAGGTGAAAAAAGGGGGTTAGTGTAAGAGAGGAGGGGTAATGGGTTAGTGAGGGATAGAGGAGGGAATTCACTTAATATAAAATATATACCTTTAATTTAAAAATTTAAAATTCCTAAAATTTTTAATGTGCCTTTAGAACATAGTTCTTAGGTAGAAATCCCATCTTTCAACCAGGGCGTGGTCTTTGGAGGACTCTACCTTATTTTCCTGGGCAGACTCCATGGTGTTTGAGATTTGGAAGAAGGGAGAGGCCTGAGGTCAGCACACTCACCTGGCCAATAATACATGTAGACCTTCCTCCTGGCCTTCATCAGCGTGATCCACAGCGGCTCTGATCCATTCCACCAGAGGGGCATCAGGCTGTCTCGGTTGACCCCAATGTCAAATGACTTGTTGATTGTGGAATCCCACATGTAGTTCCCAATCATTTGGTGGACCTCACAATGGCGGCCTGCAGGGATGAGGTAGCACAGGGTCACTTGATTCTTTGTTTATAGTCTTTATTTAATCTGATTGCAAGAGCTTTTTGTTCTCATGTAGGAAAGAGAGAAAGTACCACAACTTGTTCTTTCTGTTGTCACCATGGAGGCTTCTTTTTCATAGATAATGTCATGAGGACAAACAAGATAGCCACCAACAGGTTTGAGGCCAGCCAAAGCAGTGTAATGCTCTGTTTTAAGTTACACTGAGGGGACTGGTGAGATGGTTTAGTATGTAAAAGAGCTTACCACAAAGCTTGACAACCTGAGTTCAATTTCCAGAACCTTCATAGTGGAAGGAGAGAACTGATTCTCTCAAGCTATCCTCTACCCTCAGGTACTCTGACTTCTGTGTGAGTGGCACACACACACACACACACACACACACACACTTACACATATACTAAAAAATTATAGCTACAGTGAAGGTACTTTGGGCAGAATTTGGCCATCTCTTCATAGCCTGAGGTCTACATAGGCATCAGCCTGGAAAGAGTGGATTCTTGTTAGAGGAGGCCTAGATTCTCACTGCAGAGACAGTTCTGCATCCCTTCAATTCTCCTTCCACAAGATCAAGGATCCAGATTCTAGGAACATGACTCTCCCCTTTCTTGGAAGAGACTGGGTTACTGCTTCAGTGGTAAACAATGATCCACCCTATAATGTTTGGAACCAAATAGTGCAAAACAGACTCCAGTTGAAAACAAAACAAACAAACAAACAAAACAAACAAACAAAAGCAAGAAAACACTCCTCCACATGGAGTGAGGTACCACAGCAAGGGCTGGACAGAGCTCCTCCATTCCAGAGGAGAAACCAGATTGAAAGTTGCAACCTCTGGGACTCTTTGAAACACTAGATTAAATTATTTATTTTAGAGCAATCTGTTGCATCTTTAAGTTAAAAATAACACAAACTTTGGCAAGGGCATCAAAAATTGCTGCAATCTGAGCAAGTGAGGAGACAGACTTAAGCAAGCTGCATAAGTTAGTGTAATCAGAGTAGTGTTTTCTGTTTGCTGCTGTTGTTTCCTATGGTCTCCCCACCCCTCTCAATCCTGTTTTTAAACCAAAACAATGAGGAACTACTATGCACAATTTTGAAAAACTGAAAGTCAAAGTTTATAAAAGGGGAAGTTTTGTCTCTCATCACAGAAAGCCAGACACACAACAAGCCAACGTTAAACGTAAAGCTCAAGGAGCTAAAGAAAAGAGTTTGTACTCTAAGCTGAAGCATAAGCTTTTGCTTGTGAACTAACAAAATTTAAAACTGAAACAGAGCAGAGAGAATCATCAAGCAATTTCTCCGTGGTTAAGGAATTTAACACACACACACACACACACACACACACACACACACACACACGTGCGCACTCGTGTTCCTATCTACTATATATTGTGATAACAAAGAGAGCCTGGTCTTTGCCCTCAAGTGGTTTCTAATTTAACACCAAGCAGAGGGTCTTTGCATAAAAAAGACCAGCTTCCAGGGACCCAAAAAGCTAGAAAGGGGACCAGACTGCAGCTTCCCTTCAGATCATGACCATGAACAATGTCCCTGTCGCTCAGGAGAAAGGCATCTAGTTCAAGTAGAAACATCTTCGTTCTTCATTCAAAACTTCTAGTTCAGGAAACTTGAAGCACATAAAGGATCCCCCTCCCCCTGTGCCCTGGAAAAGTGCTTGTGATATCCTCCTTTAAAACAATGAATTTAGACTCCTTTATCTTCTTAAGGCTGTTTGTTCATGCTTCCATTAGCCAATCATGATAATGGCGACTGCAAAGGTACTTTACCGAAGATGCCGAGTACCACGAAGCACAAAACAATCAAAAGTAATCTCTAACATACTTCAAACAACCGCCGGAACCTAAGTCATAGGCAATCCCTTTTCCTTAACCTCCATCCCCAGTGCACAGAATCTGCCCAAGCCCTCCCACCCTTCTTTACTCTCTGCTGTATAGCTGAAAACTTAAGAGCGGTTCCTTGCACATGGTAGAGTTGTTGTGTCTGGATTGAGAGGTGGGAGGCAGGGAAGGAAGAAGGAAGAAAGCAGGGGAGAGAGAGGGGAGAGTCTGGAAAGCATTTCTGGGGGATCCAGACATTTCACAGAGAATTACCCCAGACTCATGTTCAGAGGTTGGATTTTTTTGTTTGTTTGGTGGATTGCTCTTATTGTTCAAAGGCTGAAAAGCAGGTACCAGGCCAGTCCCCAGGGCCAGCTCTCTATTGCAGAAAAACTGCCTTTCTGGAAGCCAGCAGGAGACTGGACACCCCTAGCCCACCTGCCCTCTCTCTTCTCCCCCAGCTCAGCCATCTTCGCTCCCATGAGCACAGCAAGGCTGGCAGTGTGTGCTTGGAGCAGCCTCAGCCCTGACTTCAGAACATTTCTTTACCCAGCCCCCCCCTCTTCTCTCTCTCTCTCTCTCTCTCTCTCTCTCTCTCTCTCTCTCTCCCTCTTTCTTTCTCTCTCATGATTTATTTGGCAAAGAAACTTAGTCATTCATCCAATGAATTTTCCACAGGCCTGGATTTTGCTGATTGCCTCCCTATGGGGTCATTTAACACATTCCTCTGAGTACTATATCTGCAGTAAATTGGAATGTAGAGCTAGCAGCCAATTGGATTCAAGTTTGTTTGATTACCTTTTTTGCAAGGATATGGGGGTCCCCAAATGGTGCTGTGTGTTGACATCAGAAGGTGCCAAGTTTGATTTTCTCTTTAATTGTGAACTTGGTGGCTATGGACAGCCCTTGTAGGGTTTGCGATTTTAATAGGAATACAAAATAAGGGCGGAAAAACACTGTCATTTCTTCTTGATTAGCTGAAATACCTTCAGGAAGGAAGAAAGGAGGGGGAGAAAGGGAGGGAAGGAAATCAAGAGACAGGAAGGAAGGAAAATGATGTTTCCCTTTGTCAGTTTTGTACTACGTTAGGAAAAATTAAAAACTCCATTCTTTTCCACGGCCTCTCACTTCTCAGCATTATAAAGTAGTTCCCTAGCATATTCTAAGGCGACAGTTAAGTTTGGGTTGGAGGAGGTGCCTTTGGCTCCCTTTTGCTTTTAGTGATGTCATTGTGTACATGAGAATTGTTAAACACATCTGCTATGCTCCAACCCACCGTGGTTATTATCCTTATCATTGCCAAATGATCACTGGTCCCTTCAAGTTGGCTCCTGAGTCTTTTTCAACATGGTCCCAGGAGTCTCTGATGGCTGCCTGGCTGTCTGGGATGACAAGATACTTCAAGCTATATAAATGTATATGAAATTAACATACAAATTTTGCCAGGGTTGGCAGTGCAGGCCCATAATCCCAGCCGTGTAGCAGGCTGAGGCCAGGACTACAAGGTCCAGGACTGCCTGAGCTTGGCATTCAAGGCTGCCCTAATGTGATTTCTGTTGCTGTGATAAAGACCATGACCAAAAGCAACTTGGGAAGGAAAGGCTTTCTTTTGGCTTACACATCCCAATCATCATCCATCACAGAAGGAAGCCAGAACAGAACTTGGAAGCAGAACCTGAAGCAGAGGCCATGGAGGAGTGCTGCTTGCTGGCTTGCTCTCCATGATTTGCTCAGCCTGCTTTCTTATACACCTAGGACCTCCTGCCCAGGAGTGACGCTGCCCACAGTAAGCTGTAGTTAGTCCCTGCCACATCAATCATTAATGAAGAAAAATGCCCCCACAGACTTTTTACTATGGGTCAACCTGATGGTGACATTGTCTCAGTTGAGTTCCCTTTTCTCAGATGACTCGGCCTGTGTCAAGTGCCAAGAGAAAAAAAGAAAAAAGAAAAGACTGAGACATGGCCAAACTGAGCAATTCAGTGAGACCCTGTCTCAAAATAAAAAATGAGGAGAGAACTGGGATGTAGCTCAGTAGTGAGAGGTTTGCCTGGCACATGTGAGTCCTCAGGTTCAAACCCCAGCCCAGGGAGGAGAAAAATCTCTTCACTCTACCTGGGGTCAGACATTTTCCCAAGGAACTCTAGGTCCCTTGAGATAGGAATAATCATAAGATAGTGTGATGTGGCTACTAGGAATGTTTCTTGCTCCAAAGATAGTATTGTTTTTAGACTCTGTTAGTTGACAGCAGGAAGGAGATTTGTTTTAATAAAATGCATACCAATAGGGCTGGAGACGTGGCTCAGTTGGTGGTGTTTGCCTGGCATGCCGGAAGCCTGGGTTCCATCTCACAAGGCCACATAAATCAGGTGTGATAACACCTGTAATGCTAGCACTCTTGTGGAGGGAGGAGGAGAACCAGAGGTCTAGGGTCACTCTGGCTACATAGCAAGTTCAAGGACAATCTAGGCTGCATAAAACCCTGTCTCAGAAAAAGAGGGAGAGGGTACTAGTAATTTCCATTCAACATCAAGATTGCAAGCTTTCTTGTAAGTCATTGGTCTTTTGTCCACAGGGGAAAAAAAAAAAATCCAGGTCTTGCACCGATTGCTTGGTACCAGTTCATCCCACAGACACATAGCTAGAGAACAGCGATGGGAGTGTGATCAACAGCCCCAAATTCTCAGCATCTTTTCTGGTCTTGGGATGTAACCATGAGGGTTCCACTTCACACAGCTCTGCTGCCATCTGTTTTGAAGAGCTTCCCTGGCTGCAGGTTTTCCACAGTTCAGTGCCCTCTCGGGTTCATCAACTTCATGTAGGGTTTGATTTTCAGGGATTGATTTTTCTATTTAATTTCATCCTATAATTATGTACAATATTTATATGGTTTCAAAGTAAAAATCCACAAAACAAGTTTTAAGAAGGTCAGCCTTGGACTGGGGAGATGATTCACTTGCCATGCAAGCCCGACAGCCTGAGCGCCTGGGGTTGCTGCCCTCAGATCTGTCCCAGCCTCCCGTTCTGAAGGGGGCACCTTTAAGACATAGAATCGTTGTCACAGATAGGCTTTGGCCATGCTTCTCCTGGGATGTCTCCAAGAACAGGGGGGAAAGGAAGGAAGCACA